TGGGCCGAGACCAAAAAGCTTCGCCAATTTCCCCCCTCCTGTGCGAATTTACCCAAGTTGCTCGTCCCTACCGCAGACAGAAAATAAATTCGGAGCCTTCTTGTCCTTGTCCAGCTAAGGCATTTCATAATATTTGTCATTTTGAGCAATCATCTGATTTTCAGGGTAACCAGCTCCCCTGACAAAGCTTCAAAGGGCAGATAATGTGTCTTTTTGAGTACAAAAGTAGGGCATTTTAAGAAACGAACACAAAATTTTCCCATCGTTTATCCTTATTTTAGTATCAAATATTCTTTAGTAGAAACGAAAACACCACTAGATAGGGCATTTCTATGTTAAGGTAACCATGTTTACATTAAGTATGTTCTGAATATCGGTCATTAAGTCACCTTTCGGCCTGGTCTTGAAACCTGCCGTAGGTCGCCTAAATTTGTGATAAAAATTTAGCGCGTTTTTCCTCTTAGCCAGCGTTTCCTCTTTCCTGCCTTTCTCTTTTCGTTAAAGGAAATACGTATCGTTTCCCTTTTCAGCTCCCTTTATCTGTCCCACATAGCTTGCGTTGCACTGCGTGGTCCCCTAAGCACTATCTTTTTTATCAGTAGCAGCGTGACTTTCCTCATCTTGCCAGTTGTTCTTTCATGCTTTTAGAAATTAGGCGGTGAACGTAATGAGAGGGAAATCAACCACTTTAGCTTCCTCCGCTCAGCTGGCGGTCGCCTCTTTGCAGGCAATGACAAATATTCGAGTGAGTTTTCGCAATGCAAAGCCTTTTCAAGGAATTCTGCGGTGAAAAACTTCATTAATACTGATTTGGCGTCTCTTCCAATGATAAGGTTCAGAAAGCCTTGAATGAGAGCCCTTCTTTTGATAACGACCACGGCAAACTTTTGAATGATAAAATCCTCGTGGAAATGTGTGACGTCTACTACAGTTTGCATGTAAGGAGCGCAAATTTGGTGCCGAATTTGAGGTGGGCGAGAGACGTCGACGCCGAGCAGTGCTGGTCATCCCAGTGGCCCACCATCTCGCCACAATTCGCATCAATGCAACAACATTTCGCTCGTTTGTACCCTCGCTCCGACAGAAGCGAAGAGCCAGGTGTCGAAGATTCTCTTCTATAAGCTCAGGCGTGTATCAAGACGAAACATCATATAAAGGACTGAGGCTGATAGACTTCGCTGTGGTCCGAAACATTTTAAAATGCAGACTTCGTGGATGTCTCCAAATCGAAAAACCAGAAACCAAATCGATCATGTTGTGGTATACGCAAGACACGCTGCCACTGTTTTAGATGTTCGTAGGATCCGAAACCCAAACCACGACCCTGATCGCTATCTTGTTACAGGACATGCACACGCCTCTGTGCAGCATAAGGAATGATCGATATTGAAAAGCTGCAATCAACACAGATTTAACACGCGACCCTCACGATAATATCTTAAAATACTGAGCGATAAGAAGGATGCCTAGAAATTTTTTGAAAGACTTACTTACATAAGCTCCCAAGACCAAAGCGAATTCCTGTAAGAACAAACATAACAATCTAGTGACCGATGACCTTGCTGATGAAGGCAATGTCGTCGGTGCCCCATCACCCGACTATGATGAGGTGCGAACAGCAATTTCGCGTCTGAATAACAACAAAGCTGCTTGATTTGTCAGTCGGCCTGCTGAGTTACATATTCAGGCGAGGAGCTGATACGATGCATGCATCAACTCTTATGCAGAATATGTTCGGAGGAACGCATGCCAAACGACTGGAATTTAAATGTGCTTATCGAGCGTGTTGTGTAAACTACTAATGCCCACAGTCAAGGAACTAATTAGTACTTATCAAATCTTGGAAAATACCTTCGAGAAGAGGATCAACACGCACGCAAAAACGAGTTTCCTATACGCCAGGATATCTGAATTTGGTATCCCCGCGGAACTAATACGGCTGTGTAAAATGCCGATGAGCAACAACATCATCTCCGTCAGAATTGGGAAGGACCTCTCCGAGGCGTTTGTTACCAAACAAGGTTTTAGACAGTACGACTCTGTAGACGCTAATAAGAGCTGCAGAACTGAAGTATCTGCTTCAATCGGTTGTCGGTCAGAAACGCAAATTGCATTCTATTGAAATATATTTCTTCTGTGTTATTTGTAATTTTCAGGTTTTCATGCATATTAAAAGTACCTGATTTGATTATAGAGAGCATTAAAAATTTAATATGCATTTGTGTATTTGGGTTAGAGTGGTGAGTAGAAATTTTCTTTACTTTGCACTACTTGGAAGCTAAATGCATCTAAACGTTGCATTAACGTTTAAGATATTGTAGACAAGACATCAGCTAAGGGGATAATTTGGTTTCGTTGGAAAGCGCCTTGAAAAACATGCATACTTACATACATACATTAGGCTGCATCAGTCGCCATACCAAAAGAAATCGATGCTGTTTTCCCCTCGGAATTACCAAATTTATTATATTCTAAAACTTCTGCCAAAATAGTTTGGAAAAATATTAAAATTTACGTGAGCTAGACCGATTTGAAAACATCTTCAAAAATTTCTTTATTTTGATTCCGTTAATAAAATATTTACAAATTTTTTGCACAGCTTTTAAGCTTAAACTCTTCTATCATTACAGGTGATTTTTTTTTATAAAATAATTTTATTAATCCAGCTCACCTAAATGTAAATATTTTTTCGAAATACTTTGGCAGGAGTCTAAAGTGTACGATATATTTTATAATTCTCGTGGAAAGCTTGCAACTTTTTTGGTGAGGCCCCCTAATGTACATACAATGACTCAAACAATGACCACGTGTTGATTTATTTTAAATGTTCGTATTGTTTTTCGAACTTTTCTTTTGTTATTTTTCTATAAAAATACCGCCCAAAAGCATATAAATCACAGTTTCAAACCTAATACAAAATTTATGAAAATTCAACAAATTTTCAACAAAATTTCAACCTTGTAATCTGAATCTTTAGAACATTTTTGGGTATGCAAACGCGTTGATTTTTGAGATTTTTTTTTTAGATCTTTGAGAATTTTAAAAGTTGCACTTCATTGGACCAAAATGGTATGGGCTTTAAAACTGTATACCCAAAAACGTTCTAAAGATTCAGAATAAAAGGTTGAAATTTTGGTGAAAATTTGGGGAATTTTCCTAAGTTTTGCCTAAAGTTTGAAGCAGTGATTTATATATGGTTTTGGTTAAAGCTTGGACGGTACATTCATAGCAAAATAACAACAACAAAATTGCTTGAAAAGGATAAGGAATATTTAAAAATAAAATTGTAGTTTAAAAAACTAAAACCTCCCTATTATAATTGCCATTCGTACTGTCATCAGGTATGTAACTTGAGAATAGAAAACGCTGCATCTTTTAGGCGCATCAATATTACATAGTTACATTCCGAGCTAATAAAAGGAAGGTAATAATCAACCTATGTCATAAAAGTGACAGGTGCGACAATTGTCGACTTTTCCATAAAATTTCAGTGTCAGATTTGTCGTCGACATTTTTCTATTTCATATACGCTTGTAGGGAGCTGTGAAAAATTTTGAAAAGCGACAGTCAAAATACTGGAATATTGTCGACAATGGTGCTGACAACTGTCACTCTGACAAAATTGTCGCAACAATATAGAGAAAACTAAAAAGCTCTGCCGGGAAGTTTTCACAGCAGAATTTTCTAAATTTATTTATATGGTAATTTTGCGCGCATTTTATTTCTATTCAATAATTTGAATATTTCTGAGAACTAAAGTAATGCAAATACAATTATTGCATATCGTCGTTTAAAGTGCAAAACCGCGTATCAACAAAATGCAGAAATTATTTTCTGGAGCGTAAAAACACTCATATTTCAAAATGGTTCTCTTTTATATAAAGCAATCGCATTTCTGGCTAGTGTATTTCAGGATGAAAGGATAAGGATGGAGCCAAGAGTTTGTGTGAGCAAATCCAATTTTTGGCAGCCAATGTCAGTTACGCGGTTTTGCAGAATGACGATACCCGGTTTTGTACTTTAAACGGCGATATGAATTACATATAAATTTCTTATGACTAGCGACAATATTGTCAACGAGAAGTTTAAAACCCTACAATGACAATTGAAGCACTGGTCAATAGACATGACTTCCTGTAAGTTCTGGCTAAATCCTGTAAACCGTACTGTTATTGGAACAGACTATATATGTATGTAATTTTTACTATGCGCGTATAGCATAGAATGATTCTATTTGTAATTTTAAGCAAATTTGCCACAGAAACCATGGGTATAAACTCAATTTAGAGTTTTCCAAGTTGCGAAATAGATTTTAAAGAAGATGTGGAAATGTTCACTGTTCCCCCCTCTTATGGAATTTAAAGAAAAAGACAAGTGTAGAAATGGTTTTCTCACACAAAAAAAAAAAACCCTTATAGCATGTTTTTATACAAAATTTAAGCACTTCTTTACAACACTACAGCAAAATGCTACGAAACCTATTTACGCAATTTTTTTTTTTTTTGGTACGCGCGTAGTCGAAAAAATCTCCCTTACAAATTGCCCCGCCCTAATGTATATGTCAAAAATTCACTTGATGTTCATACATAAGTATTAACACAACTATGGACTAGTTGATTTCCTCGCATTGTTCTGGCCAATGTAAAGTAGTACGTTTGAAACGGAATATAGAAAATATTCCAATTAAAGAACAAAGAAACGCATTATAGGGAAATAAGAGAAATACATAGGCGTTGTACTAGTATTCACGTGGAACATTTGAAAATGAACCTATGTCTACGCATGCATGTTTACAACGGCCAGTAATGATATGATAATTCAACCCATTTTTTAAGTGAGTAAAATAAAATAAATAAAAGTGATTTCGTACATTGAACATACGAATTACTGCGTTCAATTCAATGTTTTTTTCAATAGAATAATAGCAAAAATGTCTATGTCTCTATACTAAATTATCGCTCGAGCGGGAAAGTCGTGCCAATCGGAGTAGTGTGAAAATAATGTCGAACATTATAAGGACTGTCTACGACTTTCTCACAAGTCCTTGTGCATCACCAGAGGGTAATTATCTACAAAAAAAAAAAAAAAAACGACAATACTAACGAGCATTTGTGTAATACATATATATAACTGTGTTTTCAGGATATAAGTACCTGCCATTCCATGGAGCTCTATGGCCAGTTATAGTTGTTGATGCTATATTTCTGCTTTACGTCTTTCGAATCGGACCATGGCTGATGCGCAAACGTAATCCGTACGATCTAAGGCGCGTACTTTTGGTCTACAATGTATTTCAAATAGTTTTCAACTCTATCATGATCATACTGGTGTGTATTGAAAAACAAAAGCAAGTTCATGTATTACGCCGTGCGATAGAAACCACAAAAATTTCCAAACTCGCGAAATATAGGAAAATCGCGTTTTTAGTTTTTCTCATTAACGTATAATTAAAAAAATTATTAAAAAACTCAGTGCAATGTAAAATAACAATATGCGTACCAAACTCAAGAGAAAATTATGTTGATTTAATTTAAAATTTGTTGGGTCACAAGGACGAATAAATATTGAAAAAGTGCTTTAGTTTATTTTTATTTTTTTTTTTTTTTAACTACAACTAAAAGGACGAAAGTCAAGGTTGTGGTCGTGTGTATATATGTCCTTAACATATAACTTTTTAAAAAACAAATAATGTAAATTTTCAAGGATATTCAAGGATACAATTTTGAAAGGACATTTTCAATACCTATTCGTCCTTGTGCACCAAAACATTGAATCTTCTTCAATGCTACAGAATTTTCTATTTTGTTTGATAGCAGCATTGGGCTGCATTTATTAAATTTTTTAAATTTTTTTTAGTTAACCAAATCTTTTAAAGTCCTCTTACAAAAATCCTGACGTCAGAGGGAAAAACAAAAACGCAGTTTTACTATATGTATGTGGCCCTAGTTTCGCAATGTTATCGAAATTTTTATGTGTAAAATTTATTATTTGCAATTATTTCCAACATTTATCTTCTATATTTTCAAATTGTTTCTATTTCTCTCTTCCTTGCATAGAGCATTCTCTTAGTGTCAATATACATCAATCGGCCAGGTGGAATTGGTTGCATCGAACGACTGCCGTATGATCACCCGCAGAAAGGTTTCGAAATATTTTGTGGACTCTTATATCTTGGCAATAAGTTCCTCGATTATCTGGAAACTGTATTTTTCGTATTGCGCAAGAGCTACAAACAAATTACACTTCTGCATGTCTACCATCACATAATGATGACCTCCTTCGTATTCCTTTATATTCGGGGGCCCGGTTCAGGCGGTCATGCGTCCACGGTGGCCATGATCAACACTTTCGTTCACTCAGTAATGTACGTTTATTATTTGTTGAGCTCAATTCATCCGGATATGAAGAAATCGTTGTGGTGGAAAAAGTACATCACTCAAATTCAACTAATACAATTTATTATCGATTTTATCCATCAAATTTGGCCGCTGGTGGTGGTGCCAGATTGTCCGGTACCTAAGGCATGGTGTTTGGGTACTTTGACGCAAGCCACAATTATGATTATTTTGTTTACCAATTTCTATATTAAAACTTATATAAGAAAACCAAAGCCTAAAACTATCGCTAAAAAGAAGTTATAATAACTAACGGAGTTCAATGTAAATTTAAGGTTAGAAATATGCATTTGCTATTATGCACATTATTTTATAAAAAATTTTGTGATATCTCAACTGATCCAAAACGATCTATACATATGTATGTATAAAATATTATAGATATTGGTTGTTTCCTTAATAAAAAAATATGAATATTTTCTATATCTATCTGTTAAGAAAATTGATGTGTAGGCATTTACGAATAGTTGTAACGTTGAATAAATTAAACGATATTTTTTTGTTTAGTTAATATCCAGCAAATAAAAATAAGTAGCGGCTTAATAGAATAAATTTTAATTTTCTGATATAACAAAAAAAAAATAATCAAAAATATTCCTTTTAGCTTTTGAACTTCTTTTGTCCTGCCATGTACATATTTTCTGTACACATATCGTTGATCTTTCTTGCTTCTTGTCGCAATTTTTTTTTACTCAGATGACTTGAGGCAAGAAATTCCAGCAACATTTGGGTGACTGCCGCATCCTAGTAGTGCAAACCACCCACAAATTATGAATTGTGGTAAAGCGTTAAAGCACTCGGGAAACTAAAAATGTAAGTACATATATTAACTACTATAATCAGACCCTTATCTATGATTACTTTTCGGGGGTTATAATAAAAAAAATTTAAGTTTAATTTAACATTGTTTAAAGAACAGAATTTATACATACGCAAGGAGTCCTAGACCAGCCGTACACCCCCTCTAAAATGTAGGGAAATGTTTTTTTTTTCAAATGGGATATACAGGTTTTACCATAGATTCAGATTCTGCGCATAAAACTCATAACTTTTGTCGAAAACTTGTTTTTGGAATGGACTTTCGATTACAGCAATTGACTTAAGGTCTGTTTAACTCACGCCCGTTCTAAACTGAAAGTTTGTAATACGACCAAAATATAGAACATCCCCGACTTGGTAATTCATATATATATATTTTTTTTTTTCATTAAAAACATTTGCACTCAGAAGTCCAGGACGAATTCAAGTTCGGAGGTCATTTAGAAGTTTGAAGAGGCGCTTCCCAGAAAAAGTTTCAAACAAACGTTACCTATTTTTACCCTCAGAATCCGAAACTGTAGGTGAAACATCCGGAAGTCGGTAATACCACCAAAAGGCATCTCTGATTTGGTAGGTCATACTTTTACATTTTTTGAATAAAATCAAAACATTTTCCTCCGTTTTTGAGTGGCTGGACGGGTGGTCTAAGACACCCTGTATATTTTTGTATAAGAACTAATAAAAAATATCCACATAAACGCAACAAGAATAAAACTAAAATAAACTGAAAATTAGACAGTCCAACAAATTTCGACTTTCTTTCTGAAACACAATTACCATGCTATAACTTTGAAAGAGGGCATCACACTGACCATTTTCGTGGTCATTTCCACTCAAAGCTTAAGGAGTCATTTTACGGGCCTTTACTCATTGCTAATGGCGAATACCGCAAACGAAGGAACGATGAGCTGTATGAGCTCTACAACGATATAGACATAGTGCGGCGAGTTAAAATACAGTGGCTATGTTGGTTTGGTCAAGTCGTACGTATGGAGAGAATCGCTCCACCTATGAATGTATTCAACGCGGGTTACCATGCTGGTAACAGAGGAAGAGAAAGGCCTCCTCAGTGATGGAAAGGCCAGGAGCTGAAGGACTTTGCTTGAGTTGGTGCCAGTTAGCGCATAAGAGAATCGATTGGCTTACTTTGATAGGCTCGGATAGAAACGCTTAGGCGGCTACTGCGACAATCCAGAAGAAGAAAATCCAGTGAAGAAAGTACGCTAATTTTTGTCTAAAGTTGGTATTATTAGAAAAAGGCAGTGCTTCAGCACGAGTTCAATATGTTTAATAGCTCTTAGCTAGTCTAAGCTAGGTGAGTGTAAGGTCTTACACAAATGTAAAGAGTACATACAAAAAATTTCAAAACCAAATACGAAAAATTGTGATTCCGAAAACTTTTAATAGAATGTCGATATTTCCAAAGCCTTCTTAGAAACCCTATGAAATCCCGAAAAATTCTGAATATTTCCGAAAAATTTTTAAAAATTCGGAGTTATTCAATGGGATATATCCATATAATTGGAAAATCCTTTACGATTCCTCAAATTTTGCATGAATTAAAAAAATAGGAGTGTTTAAAAAATATATACGAAAAATTGTGATTAGTTCCGATAAATCGTGATGATATCCCAATAATTCGGAGGACTTCTGAAAAATTCTGGAAATTTCCAAATAAGTTGCAGTAAACCTGCTCCAGAAATTTCGAAAAGATTGGGACAATTCGTTAAGACTCCTAAAATTTTCGAAAAACTCGGAAAAATTAGGAATATTTCTTAAAATTCAAAAAAAAAATGCCAAAATATAGAAATAATTTCGAGCAAATCCCGATAAATCCGAAGACTCTAAAAAATACTCTGAAATTCCGAAGAATTCTGAAAAATTCCGAGTCATTCAGTGAATTATCTCTATATAAGCTGCACTAAACGTGCTACGGAGAATTCGAAAAAAGTTGGACAGTTCGCAAAGCTCGGAAAAATTAAAAATAAACCGTAAAATACAAATAAATTTTAAGAAAATATCAAAAGGAAATTCGTTAAAAAATACGACAAATTTGTATTAATTCCGGAAAATTCTTATGAGAACCTGATAGTTCTGAAGGCTTCTGAATAATTCTATGAAATTCCGAAAAATTCTGAAAAATTCCCAGTTATTCTCCATATAAGCTGCAAGAAAATTGCTACAGAAGTTTCGAAAACATTTGGTCAATTCGATATAGATTCTTTAAATGTTCGAAAAATTCGGAAAGTATTGCTTAAAATACCTAAATTTCTCAAAAAAATTCAAGAAGTCAAAAATCCAAAAATTTCGAAAAAAAAATAAAAAATTGTATTCATTCAGAAAGGTCAGATGGTTTCAAGCTAAACGAAAAAGTGGATAGCGGGATTCACTCCGGTGAACTCATTTTAAACTGCAGTTTTTGCTTACCACCGTAGCGTTTTTCATAGTTTGTCATACTACCAGATAAATCTGACCAAAAGTTGATGTAAAGCGACCCATAGCTCTCACTCGGCTTGACCGCTTTTCTCTCCGATTAATAACCGGACACTGCCTTATGGGCAACACTATCTTTGTCAACATTCAGCCACTTTAACCTGACCTAAGATGAAAATATCTAAATATATATGTATGCCTTCTAATTAATCGATAATTTATGTAGTTAGGTAAGTTAAGCCTTTTGGTTTCCGGAAACCAGGTGACCTATATAGTTCCAAGTAAACGTCTAAAACTGACTAAATTTTTTAATTAGTTATTTTCAGATTACAATTCTAAACCAAATAAATGAAGTCTTAATAATTCAAAAACATTTTCAAAATTCCATAATTGCGTGTTTTTCGGACAAAACATATGTATATATGAAGTCATAATTGGTTCTTTCGTCAGCAGCGAGTTGGCAAAAAAATTTTTATTTATGTATAATCACAAATGTTTGTATTTATTTATCTAAAAACTGAAGGCAATCACCGACGTGGCAAACTAAATTTAGCACTTAATCTCATTTCATTCAAAGAAAAAAAAAAGGATTTGCTAATTAATGAAAAGCAATTGATTTCGACACAAAATAAACAAAATACAAACACAAAAGTTTAAGAAAATTTAAAATTAGGAATTGTAAATTGAAAATGTAGGTGGTAAAATTTTATGGATTTGCTGAAAACGCAAAACCACCGTTCGTACATAAGTAAACAACAACACACACCCAAATGCTATCGACGTCAGCGAAACGAGAAAATTAATTTAAAGTTGTTAATAACGTCAGAGAAACCAATTTTACTCAATGAAAATTTTGCACGCAGTTGAGGTATTCTACAAATGCATGCAATGAATCGCTGACTATAGGTGGATTGATAACGTCATCGTTGTTTCGCAATTTTTACACCTACTTTCTTAAATAAATATGTGTGGAAACATAAATAAATGCACATCCATATGTATGTATGTGAGTATGGGCAGTAAAGTGTTTACATGATAAAATAAATGAACTCTGATGTTTCAGGGAATACCGGTATCGGCAACGTTTTTAAGAATTTTAGACGCTGCCCACACCTTGGTCAATATCCAAACATTTGAGTACCTTACGATATCGCCAAATACATATATATATACATACGCGTGAATGTATATTTTTTAAATCGCGTGCACCTACGTAAATTTTTAAATAAATGTATTTATGTTTATACTATGGACTTCATAGTATATGTGTAAGTACATGTACTATACCTACATACATTGATATAACCAGGGAACGGATTTTTAGGACCTAAAAGCCTATAAAAAAGGCAAAATAAAGTAACGAAATAGGCCGGAAAAGGCAAAATAAAATAGCGAAAGAGGCAGGAAAAAGCACTAGGTATTGCAAAAAAGGCAAAACAAAATAGCGAAAAAGGCAGGAAAAGGCAAAAAAAAGGTAATGCCATAAAAGCAAAATAAGGCCCTAAAAAAACAGAAAATACGAAGAACAATCAAAAAATATATTTATTTTAGAAATTTTTATATTACAAGTAAAAAGAGAAAAACTATGAACTAGTTTCATTATATGAAAAATTTGTACTTTGAATCTTTGACTATTTTATCCTTTCGAGTTTCTAACTCATAAAACTTTAATCTGTATAGTTGTAGTAACATTGAATCACAAGATGCATTTTGAAGTTTTCTGGCAGCATTTTCATTCGATTTTCGCGAAGAAAAGCCTTGAATGTACTAAATGTGCGCTCGACGTAAGTTGATACAAGTGGAGCCCAATTTAAATATGGAACGTTTGAAACGTTCATATTATCAGGAATAAGGGCGTTTTCCTCGCCCTTTACAATTTTATACACACCCCTTATTGTCTTCAAGCCTACGTTAGCTGAGAAAACGGCTTAGAATTTTTTCAACTACAATTTGGCAGAGGTCCCTGCGCTTCTATAAGCCGCATGGGCATGTGTATATTTTTTAATCTTAAAAAAAAAATTGTAAATGCTATAATCACTTTTTTAAAGGTAGAAAAGGCAAAAAAGGCAAATATCTTAAAAAATCCAGAAAAAAAGCAAATATCTTAAAAATGGCAAAAAAGGCAACATCAAATGTGTATACATGGAATCAGGGAAAGCTAAATCGTG